AAATATATATAAATGTATAATGTTACGAGATTTGAGCTATTTAATCTAAACGTTTATGTTTTTGTGTTATAATTTATGTTTATTCTAGAATGAAAGAGGTATAATTTATATTTATTTCCTAATTTTTTATGGTGGTTGTGAGATCGGTGAAATCTACTGAACCCATACAGAAGTTCATTACTGAAAATAACATAAAATATAAAGTATTTTTTTAAGAAATGCTTCATAACTATCTCGACATTATAAAGATTTCACATGTGAAATTTCAAACTTTTCTGATGCATAAAAGTATTTTAAATCTTAAGATGAATATTACTTTGCATGATAGATAGGTAACATGCAAAAAGAAAAAAAATAGACATGAGAAAGACATTGCTTTATAAACCTTAAGACTTAATAAAATTGATATTTTGTATATGAGAGCATTGTAACGTTTAATGCCAAATTTAGTTAAAATTTGCTTACTAATTTAAAAGTTATAAGCATGAAAACTAACAAGAACTAAATGGTTATGAGGTTGGTCCCAGGCACCAAGCCCAGGTTGAAAGAGTTAAGCCAATTAGGTTTGATCATCTTTGTTATTCCTTTCCTTCTTTTAAAAATATTTCTATCTTAAAATTAAAAACAATTTATATTTCACAATTTTCCACATCACCTATTAACTTGTGATCCCAATACCTAATGATAAATCTGGTCTCATAGACTCAAAATTGGCTTTCTAAAAAACTAGTAACTAAACTTACATTTTTTCACTTATGTAGAAAAAATGCCTAACTTAATTGTGCAATGTTCCTCTTTCCCATATTTTCTTCCATTTTGACTCTAACCACATCTTCAATAGTGGTTAATAATAAACCTAGTACAGCATCCGTTCTTCTTTGTTGCCTGACCACTTGTACAGAGAACCATCTTGGATTTCAAAAAACTTCTCCTTCAGTACTTGACTTCATACATCCTCAGTCAGTATACTCTTATGTAACAACCCTCATCTCAGTGTACAGTTTTTCTGACATTTGTTTTATCAAATGGTCTGGCAATTGTCAGTTAAAAACTTCTTACCTTGTAGCTTATTCCTGAGCTTATCACTCTACCATCTCTTTTGAAAAGTATCACTTTAAAACAACGTATAACCTGGAATTTCAAAATAATTCCTGTTGTCATTGTTTTCCATTTGAACTTGAGCCCTGAACTCATACAGTTTGTTACTGTACTCCTACTTTAGAATAATAACAGGTAATCTTATTCTTAACCTATCGTGTCAGAGTTTGAAACTACAACCCACCCTTCTGCCATATGTGGCACATCCATTTTTACTGCATCCTCCTCTTCTTTTTTTTGTACCTGGCTTGAATATTAATAAACTTACTTCAATGCCTAGTGTACAAGATGTAACAGAGGTATTATGCAGGAATAAGTATGAGACATAACATATATGCCAACACTTATAAATTTAGTGTCTGCTGCATTTCTTTTAACCCTTTTGCAATGGGCTTGGTATAATATACACAAGTTTGTATACATGGTTGCACACATTAAGTATTTATACTATAACTTTTAATCCAGTACGTGCATCTTTACAAAATCTGGTATACCTTTAGTAAACATTACACATCTTTTGTACACAAAAAATCAAATTTTTTAATGAAGTGTTTTTACTAAAGATTTATTGTGAATATATCAAGTTTGTTTTGTTACTAATCCGAGTGGAAGTGATTTTCATGTTATGATTAAAAATACTATTCTTCATCCCAAAAATCTCAAATTTCTTTTGTATATTCTTTAAAACTTCCTAAATACATTTCAAACATTTGTTTTCACTAAAACTATATGTTATCAGTTATTTAATGATATACTTGAGTCTTCAGCTTGTAGACAAATCCTAAAAAGACAAGTTGTAAAATTAGAAATAAAAGGAGCAGCTGTGCCTTTTATCGTTATTATTGGTCACTAAGTTTCCAAGTACTTCTCTTATGAGTTTGAACTGCTAAACATTTCACATTTATTTTATGTGTTTATTTTACTGTCAATGACTAAAGTAAAACCCTGCTGAAAATAAATCAATAAATCGCCTGTTTACGTGACAACACCATAATACAATATTCTTGAAAGCAACAAAGCACACACGAAAACATAGTCGACTAGACCCCTGCTTCGAGAATAGAATGTCTAATGTATCGGATTATGTATGTATCCTACAGTGTTCACAACAAGACTTTTTGAAAGTAACAACACTGCACTTTGAACCTGTCTAAACATTTATTATGTGGTTTGGTGCTAAGACAATAAACATTGCAATTCTTTGAATATTGGTAATCCTTTTGGGGGTGTTTGGAATTTACCAGCATAGGTGTACAAAGATGTTATTTGAGTTTCTCATACTACTTATCACACTCGTTTAGTTTCACAAGCATTATAAATCTAGTCTTCCTTGGAAAACATTCTTACTTTTGCAGCCAAAGTGTATTTACTAATAAATGCTTAAATTTTAGTCATTTTCTTAAAACATGAATAATAAATAAAAATTACATAGAAAAGCAATTATTTCTAGTACTTATGAGAAATTATGGTGTGCCTTCAGTGCTGAGCCTCGTTTATTTTTTTGAGTGGAGGGTGAAGAAATACAATTTTTGTAAGCTTCAAATATACATTTTAGAAAGAAAAAAATACATTATTCTAGTAATGCACCCAAAACATCTTTAACTTTCTTGGATTTACAAATAAAATATATATATGTGTTAAAAAAATCTTTCTCCATTCAGAGCAACAACTTGGTCATTGCCATTCAACATTCTTGGCAAATTATTCTCTTCCAAGCTCTTTACAAACAACTGGCAGAATCACATAAAGCACTACTTGTCCTTTCTATTGGTTATAAACAGACCCTTAAGAAAAAAGGTTTGTAAAGAATGTAGTAGGAGGAGGTGCCACTCTAGTTGATTTGCTAGATACATTGATTTCTCAGCAAATCAAAGTGATGGGAGGTTCAAAATTTATATTCTAGCTTGCCAGTATCTAAAATTCATGTTTCTAATTTCTTAACCACTTGTAGATGAATATAGTAAGCATAAAAAAAATATATATATGCTGAGCAATAAGACATGAGAAGGTGTTGTGACACACACAAATTGATACTTAGCTTTATTTTATTTATATTTTCTTTTGAATTAAGAAATCAAAACATATATAATATTAAAATTTGAAGTACAAGCAACCTTTTTGATATCAATTTCATTGATATATAGTAATAATAATTTTGAAAACAAATCGCTAAAAGACCGTGACATGCGCAGTGAGACTCACCCGTTGCGAAAGGGTTAATTGGTCACAACAAGGTGCTCTTGCAATGCAGGCGTATTGTTTCTATACAAGTATTCCAGGTAACATCAAATGTTTTATTTTTATTTAAAATATAAAAATGTTTACTGTTTGTACAACATGTTAAACTATTCATGATGTCATGCAAGTTATGCAAATTAGTATCAGTAAAGGTCTGAACCATTATTTGGTAATGTGGTTGTGCATAATGTCTAGAACCTTCTAAATGAATATCAAAAGTTTTTTTGGTATTTATATCTTTCTATTTATCTCTTATTGTCTCTACCTTAACACTGACTGTAGTGAAGAACTGTTTTCTAGAATAACTGCAGATTGTAACAGACAAAATTATATATCCTAAATAGCCTCATGTTGGTAATAGGCTCACATCTGCTTTCATTTTATCTTATAACCATGTCTAACTAGTGTAGGAAAACAATAAATCACCAGGCAAGATTATATAATAAGCAAACAATAATTACATCACTAGTATATCCATGATGACAGACCATATGCTTTCCTTGAGGATAAAGTTTTATTTAATTTTTTCATTTGAGATTTCTTTTGAGATTTAAGATTTTAATTGCTTTAGTAAAAATATACAAAAAAAACGGAAAGTTAGCACTTAATCTTAAGGCCTTGTTCACTTGGGTTCATGGTTTAGTAAGCCTGTTGTTTTTCTCATTGTTTGTTGTCCAAAAATAATTTAATTAATTAAATAAAGCTTTCAAATAAGTATCCTAGAACACAGAAGTTTTATCAGGAACTAGAATAAAATGACCCTAAACTACTATAATTTATCGGGCTTTCTAAATAACCTATATAAAGGTTTAAAGAATTCCATTACTGTTCAAACAACTTCTTTAGTCTAAAACAAAACAAATATTTAATTTTTATAGCTTAGAATATAATCTTTATTGGTTGTACACATGTTTAATAGCAATGTTAGAGAAAATTACAGGCATTGCTTCAAATACAAAGGATATGGAGAAGTGTATCAGTGTTTTTGAACAAATATAGAGATATCCCAATACAGCAAGAAAATGAGAGGTTGAAATTTTATACTCTGGTTTGTCAGTAATTTATTGTATGTGTTACTGATTAATTACATTATTAAACAATCAGTTTCACGTATAAGGGAAGAGAGAAAATATGTAAATGAGAAGTTACATTATTGTGACTCACAGGTGCAGATTGAGAACTTATTTCAATATTTCCTTTTAAAATTAAGAAATTAAACTTTTATATAAAATTTGAGTAATAAATTACATTTTGATGCCAAGTTTTTTTTAGATTTAAGTGTAAGGATGTGCACTGAGATGTTATTTGTTTTACTTCAATTACCTGATGGGAATTTATAGTTCAAGTTGCCAAAACTGTATTTTCTACCATTCTAAGAAGCTTTTTGAAAATTTTATGGCTATTAGCATTATTTTTTTTACAGAATCATGTCTTATGATTTTTCTATTCTTGTTTTCAGATTTCCATATCAGAAAAATGAGAGGCCCCAGAGTAGGACGCAAAGGACGTACACGACCTGGAAATTTTAAGACAAAATTTTTTGTCCCTCGTCCTCCATTTGATTTTTACTTGGTAAGAAAAGTGGATGGTAGTTTGTTTTTAGCAATTTATTAAACAGCAAGCATTTGTTGTTGCTTGAAAATGAAGCAAGTAAGTACTTGTATTAGAAACATACCTGTAATGACATGACATGAAGCAGTTGATTTTAGTATGTTATTGACTCAGAACTGTAGGAGTCCCTAGGACTCACAAAACTATATCTTGAGAGTTTCTTGGCATATTTTAAATAGTTAGTGTCAGAAGCTGAATTGGCTACTGGCTGAAGTTTAAGTACCAAAAAATGTTCAATATCTTTGCTTTCATGCAGGCCTCAAGTAACAATACAATTTTTTTGCATCATATTCCAACCATATAAATATATTTTATAGGTGCAATGGTTATTTTACAGGACTTCTTGACAACAAGTTTTATAAATGTAAATGAAATACTTTAAGATTTTTTTTTTTGTGCTTTCTACGAGTTATTTTTGTCAAACGAAAACAGAAATGTGTTATTGTGATGAATGATGCTTAAAACCATTTGTGAACATTTTGCTGGCAACAGCTATTAGAGGATGATGTAAACTTTATTTGGGGAGATTTTAATGTTTTCATGAGATTATTTCTTTGTAAACAGCTCATAAATTTGGTAATGTTTGGAAGCAAGTATTTATCAACTAGCATTGTTAAGTGTACTCATGTCACTGATGCTATGTTTTTTCCAAAACATGCTTACCTCCTCTCACACTACAGCTATTACTTGATTGCTAGGGTTTCCTTCCTTTGCTTACCTAAGCATTGGTCTGATTTTTTCTCACTTGCTCTAGTCTTTTATTCCTCACTTAATTACCCTTGGTAATATGTCTCATGACACTCTCCACCTATATCAATGCATTCTCTATTGTGGTACTGTATACAAGCACCACATTCAGATAATATTATCACTTTTTCTTGACAAAGGGTTCCCTAATGGCTTTTTCTGTACTTTGAGCATTCTTCATGCTATATAGTTGTTTATTTGTTGTTGTTTTTTTGTAAATAAAAAAAAAATTCGTTTGGCAAGCCGATAGACGCCATGAGTTCCCAGATTATTGTTTCCAGCAGGGAGCCAAAAAAAATATCTCCTATCCTACCCCTTTTTTCTAGCATCGCTCAACACTCTGCATGGGGGAGTCACTCAGTTGAGGCTCTCCGTGACCTTATTCGTAGTGAGATGGAGACATATATTTGTTCCAGTAGTGTTTCTCCAGGAGGTCTGAGGCTGCACTTATGGGCGATCTTGGACATTCTGGAGAGAATTTAGATTTGATCTTCCCAGTGCCATCCTTTATTCTGTTGGCTTCTCAGGAGACCTTCATTCCCTAAGCCTGTGCACACTCCATTACACGAACAACTGATTACTGCTGGCACCATCTCGGAACATCACATCCATATTCTATTTCCAGAAACAACCAAGACAGGCTTTATTATCAGAGCCGAGAAATCTATTCCTACTCCACCACAACATATCCATCTGGGTGTATTTTTCAACACATCTCAGTCAGGCTCAGCTGTCTTCCATCCAGCTCCACACTATTGAACAGGCAATACTACTTACTCATCTCTCCTTCTCTTATTGTGCAGATGGTTCTTTTACTTTTGGGGAGGTGGGCATCACTTGAATTCTTCATTCCTTTGGGATGAGCACACATGAGATCCCTTCAGTGGTCTCTACACAACTATTGAATCATGAACAGTGATTCACAGGATTCCCCAGTCTCCTTATTCAGGATCAACATCTTCGATCTCGAATGGTGGCTAGATTGGCATAATACTATGATAGGTGTTTCTCTGCCACCATCTCCTCCAGAGATTCATCTCTTCTTGGATGCCTCACTTTAAGAATGGTGTAAAAGGTCAGGAATTCCAGGGCCTTTGGATGTACAATGAGGCTTTCCTACACAATGTTTTAGAACTTCTTGCTTTTTAAAGGGTGATGTCTCAAGGTCTGGACTTATTAAGAGGAAAAATATTCATGCTTCACAGGGAGTGTCTTACATTTCCCATCAAGGGGATACTTAGTGCAGGGCTCTGTTTACAAACCTTGGATCTCATTTATTGGACCTATTACCATCATATCATGCCACTAGCTTGCCATGTTCAGGTGGTGATGAATTTGGTGGCAGATCAATTGTCTTGACAATATCAGATTCTCTCAACAGAATGGATGCTGCTTTGCGAGATTGTCCATTGGATTTGCTCTCAGGTCGGGACACTGTTTATTGATGCATTTGCCACTAATTGGAACACTCAACTACTGGGATTTTGGTCTCCAGTTCCTCACCCTCGGGCATTGGCAATTGATGCATTAAGTCAGGACTGGAGGGGATTGAACTCCCATGCCTTCCTACTGATGTGTATGTTACCCACAATACTAACTATGATTCTTTCAACCTCTTGTTAGGTTCTATTTATAGCACCGGATTGGCTGGCTCCACCCTGGTTTCTGCTTCTGTATTACCTTCAGGTGTGCCCATCTCTTCCACTTCCTCTTTGATCATTTCTGTTGTGGCAGCCATAATTCGACATTGTACCAGCCATCCTGAAACTCAAGCTTCATGCATGGAGGTTATTGCGGTCCTTCACACGGCATGGCATATTGTGAGTACGTTAAACCCACTTTGTCCAGAAGTGCTACCATAACTCGTTTTTTGACCAGACTCTTTGACAAGGGTTTTGCATTTTCCACAGTTGCCTTATATAAGGAAGCCTTATTGAATACTTGAGACAAACATTATTATTTGTTCCCAGTGCTCTCTGGCCTCCTCAAGTCATTTTGGGTCCTTCATCTCAAACGACTGTTCCATTTACCTAATTGGGATATTAAGATGGTATTACATGCTCTTTCTCAACATCCATTTGGGCCCTTAGCATAAAGTACCATGTATCACCATTCCCTTAAGGTTTATTTTTTGTTGCTGCTGGCCTGCAGACATCGCTGGTCAAAATTGCTTGCACTGCATGTACACAGGACTCTTTATCATTCTACCTACATCCTCCTATACTCAGAAAGGTCCTTCTTATCTATGACAGTGGCAGCCAGAGGAGGGGATAAATCCTTTTCACTGATTTATTGGACCTCTATTTCTCACCTCTATGACCGATCAGATCCTGATTGCTTGTTATGTCCAGTGAGGGACTTTAAATATTAGGTTGCCTGCACTAATGCATTTAGAGGTGCTAGATAATGACTATTTATTCGTTGGTATCCTTCAGTCTCCTTGGAATTATCCCTGGTTACTTTTTCGAGTTGGGTATGAAAATTGATCCATATCGTTTATTCTGTGCTGTCTTTGGAGATGAGGAGACTTCTGTGAGTCATTTCTCATCAGATTCATCACATTTCTTTGTTCATAGCAGCCCGGTTGAATTTTTCACTAGAGGACATTGTGCTGGCTGGTATGTGGACCTCTTCCATTACTTTTATCTCACATTATTTGCATGAATTAGCAGTATCTTCCTATGAGGGTTTTTTACTACCCCCATTAGCTATATTAACCACATCCACTAGATTATAAGGAGGTGTGAGCATCTTCATTACTAATATTGTCTCTTCTTTACTTTCGAGGGTCACTTACCTCTTTTTCACAGGATCCCACTCTGTGGTGAGTGTTGCTCAGGCAGGTGTGCTTTTATCAAACCAACTTCGTGCTAGCAACCATAAAAAAAATATACTTTATCTAGGTTGCAACAGGTTCTGTAGAAATGGGTTGTTCCAAAAGACCATCTTGAGGCAGTCCGGTTGGTATTACTGTACTTATTGCAGTCCAAATGCCCAAGCCAACAAAATGGGATTTAGGGACCATTGCCCTATACTTCCAACTCCGAGCAGTGGAACCTTGACAATCTGGTTGGGGCCTGGCCAATGGTGGTAACAATTCATGTAAACTTCCATCCACAGTGCATGAATTAGGTTCTGGGTGAAGAGCATACCTGTTCTGCATGTAGTGTGGTTCCCCCATATGTCTTTTTTGATTGGCTCTCTGATAGGAGTCTTTTGGTTTCCTCTGTTGTGGGATGTAGAGCAGTGTTATCTGCCAAGTTTAAGTTTCCCCAATTTGCTTGTTTTCCATTTGCCAGTCTTATCCATGTTGTTTTTCATTTCTTTTGCATTTTCTGTCCTCCCCACCCTGCTTCCCTCTGGTTGTAACCTCACTGTGGTCCTCCATGCTCTTATCCATCCTCTGTTTAAACCTTTGTCTTCATGTTCATTATATTGCCTTTCCTTGAAGTCCCTTTGCCTGCTTTTGGTGGTGTGTGGACATCATCATTCTGATATGTTTGCCGTGTTTTGTTTCATAGTTCCTAGGTCCTCCTCTTTCCTGATCGTTCCTTTATGCTGAAGACTTTGGCAGCTCAAGAGGGTAATTCTACCTTAACACCGATTTCTCCTCCCTTCATATCCCACCTTTATGACCATTCTGATCCAAACTGCCTCCTTTGCCCAGTCAGGGCTCTCTGATTATATACGACACACACTGCTTTTTTTCCATTGTTTCCGAGCCTGTTTGTTTATTCTGTGGAATCCTAACCTCTTCTATGGGTTGTATTTGTTAGTTAATTTGCCTGGCATATTATTGTTGCCTTTTTCATATTGCTTCCTATCAAATCCATCACCTTACCATGTCCCTGGCTGCACATTTCCATCTTCTCTTGAAGCATATCATCAGTGCTAAAAAAAAGTTTCTCTGTGAATGGTAAGTACTTCATTCTTTTTCTTTGCAGAACCCTTTATCATATGATTGGATCCCACTTTGTGTCGAGTCTTGCCTGACCAGGTATACTTAGTCTTATATCTACACTATATGACCTGTGATCATATACCCTGCTAGATGACTATGATGTTGAGGCTTTTCGTACCACAGACCTGATGTACAATTCCAGATACTTCCAGGTGTTGTTTGATCGACTCCATCAGTTTATTCTCTGTGCTTTCAAAATACAATGTCATAACACATAACCAGGTCATATTACACCCACCATTGAGATGGGGTG